GTTACTTTTTTATGGAGTAATGCAATATTGTAATGCATTACTTTTAGAAGTAACTTTCCCCAACACTGGTCATTTCTGACATCATTTACTCAGTTCAGTTCAGTTTTGAGGGTTGGGTTGTGTTGAACTTTCTTGATAATTCAGCACATAATCAATTGGATCAGATTAGCTATAGCTAATTAATTCTGGAAATAGGCCTACATGCTATTACACAAACAATTTTTTTTTGTCAAAGTACATTTTAAGAAAGACTGTGAATGCTTCCTTTTTAAATGATTCATATAAAATGCATATTTTATATTCAAAAAGTTTTATATTTCATTTTAATCTGCTGCTTTTCCTGTATAAATTTTCTCCCATAATGTGCATTTTTAAATATATATATATATATATATATATATATTGTAAACATGTTCTTTTTTTGTGTTTTGATATATAAATGCATCATTTAATCAGTTTTTTTTCCCAGTAATGAATAATATCAATTAATTATGAGGCTGGATTAGATCAAATTAAATCTGGAATTTCCCTACTTTTTTCTCTCAATTAGGCAGTGTGTAATTTATATTCGTTTAAACAAGCATTACATTGTACATTGTAACACATACATTGTAATATAGCCATATATAAATATAATACAAATTTATTTAAATTATTTTCAATATGAATAATAATAAGGTTTTGCAGATTAAATGTTCTTTTACTGTTTTGATTTATATATATATATATTATAAGGTTATATCTGACATTTTTGTCAAAATTGAGTTATTCACATATTCTTATTCTGTGACAACTTATTTACATTATGTGATAGATTTTTTAATGTTGTGTACATTTTGGGACTTTTCTATTTAACCCGTTGAGCGGGACGGTCCCACATACGGGATTTAGACCGTTCGGTGACGTCACATAACTGCCGAATTCAAACTGTGCTTTCGCGCTTTAGCTGACGCTGAGCCAGAGAGAGACCTGCACTGCGCTTGTCATTTTATCACAACTGTGCAATGTTCTTAACCACATAATGCATATTTTAGGGTTCAGACATTTAAATACACATAAGTACTGGTAAAACAATACATTTAGAGTTTGAAAAATACACACACATGTCTATGGAAGCAACAATAACAATCCATTCAAATTTAATTTGCCGATGTGTTTTATTCATATCAGATACACATAGTGTAAATAACTATAAAGTTCACTCTATTCTTCACCGGCCACTTATTACTTGTATTTTTGGGAGAAATTGATGAATTCACGTGCTGCAAATCCGACTGACAGGACTCTGAACTGCAGCGCGAGCAAACATGGCGGCGCCCATCTCACATTACAGATCACGATCAAGATCATTTAGAAAGGGTTTTAAACGACAAAACACACTCATTCACACATATTTGTAAATCGGAATATCAGATAGCTCATGACATGGAATGCACGTTTGTGAATATTTTAAATAAAAAAGGAAAAGAAATAAAAGCGATCCATCTGTCATACAGTGTTATTGTGGCCGCGGTGTGTCATGTGACAAGCAAAAAAAAAACTCACTGTGGGGGGACCGCTAGAATATTTTAAACTCGCCACTGAAAAGGTTAAAAAACTAAAAGATTCTATCTACACAGTCGAATAGAATGCAAAAATATCTCAAAACTACTCGGAATGCAGATAGAACCTTATAATTCCAAGGGGACGATATATATATATATATATATATATATATATATATATATATACACGTGTGTGTGTGTGTGTACTGGTATATATGGTTTATGAGGACACAAATGTGTATAATGATGACATGGGTACTACAACGTAGACATGGTTTATGAGGACACTTCCTGTGTCCCCGTAAAACAAAAGGCTTAAAAAACATACAAACCGGTGTTTTATGAAATCCAAAAATTGCCAGTAGTTTTCTGTAAGGGGTAGGTTTAGGTGTAGGGTTGGTGTAGGGCAGGGGTGTCCAAACTCGGTCCTGGAGGGCCGGTGTCCTAAAGAGTTTAGCTCCAACCCCAATTAAACACACCTGAACCAGCTAATCAAGCTCTTACTAGGCATACTAGAAACTAAAAGGCAGGGGTGTTGAGGCAAGTTGGAGATAAACTCTGCAGGCCACCGGCCCTCCAGGGCAGAGTTTGGGCACCCCTGGTGTAGGGCAATAGAAAATACAGTTTGTACAGTATAAAAACCATTATGCCTATGGAGAGTCCCCGTAAACCACACAAGTGTGTGTGTGTGTGTGTCTGTAGATAAATATATACTGTATCTACAGTAACATCTAATTTAAACAACATTTCATGAAAAAAGATACAATGAAAGTGAATAGTGATTGAGGCTGTCAGTCACTAGTGTCTTTGAAGAAGAAGAAGAAAGTCATATACAGGTATGGAACAACATAAGGGTAGAATCATTTTAATAAGATTAAATTCATTTTCATTTTGGGGTCAGTTATTATGTTTATATATGAGATACACAGAACAATGAGTTGTGTCAGGACACTTTATATATTTTTATTCATAATATTAGGCAATATATATTCACATCTCTCCGAATTTGCTTAATTTAATATATTATCTGTACACAAATAAGATGACTTCATATACCTTTTTTCAAAATTACACTTCAATCTGCTTTGACATACACACTTGTACAAGTTTACAGATAAAATTAATTGTCTTGGATCAAAATAAATATGCAATAATCATCTACACTAAATGTCACCTCCCCATACACATTCACACAAACACACACACACACACACGCACACACACACACCTTTGACACTTCCTATTCCACTGTCAGTATTAAATCATACTGTGACTGTCTATACAGTTTGTTACAGAGCTCAGTAAATACAAACATACTCATGCAATAAAATTCACAGCGGGAAGATGGACAGTTAATGAAAAGATTATGGGTATCATTAATCAAATAAAGTAAATGCAATTAATAAGTTATGGATTTCTAATCTTTATATTCTCTCTCATCTCACATTGGTATCTTGCTATGTATGTAACCATATGTAACTGGAGCCCCATTTCCACTTATACTGTGCTATATAGTACTGTGGAGTGCTGATGTAATTAGCATATTCAGGAGCAAATATAAAGAGATTGCATTTTGAAAGGGTAGCAAAAGGGCATAAATATCTTACACACAATAACTGAGCATCACATCAAGACAAATAATACTGAGCATCTGCATTAAGCCCAGTCCAGAAATATATAACTGCACTTGAGATCACATTATGCATCCACACAAACAAAGCACTTACACTAAGGCCTTACTTAAGGCTAAATTCCCTTGATTTATCATATTCTCATATTTCCCCTTGTATTAATGTGATAATTCAATTATATTTGTTCCTCCTCTCCTCAATTATTCATACAGAGGAAATAAAAGAGGAAGTATGGCGTTATGTTTTTATCAGGTCAAAACAGGCCGTCTGGTAGCCCAAACCAAAAATCATATGCACACAAAGCTGAATTAAAAACATCATGACTGGTTCACAACTTCTGTTAAAAAAAAAGAAAATAAATAATATCCATAACAAAGTCTCCAACATTCAAGGACACTTGAAAAGACAAGTGTGTTTGTCCATAAAAATCATTGATAACAATAAAACACATCCTTGACACTTCACTGTTGAATGTCAAAGCATGAGAAAACTTTTCCTATTTACAAATATCTCTGGTATTTTGTTAAATTCATAACATGGGGGGAGAGGGGAGAGAGGCATAAGAGGGGTAAGGGGGGAGGAAGGGGGGGGTAAAGGGGAGTGGAGGGGGGGAGGGGGGATGGAGGCCAATGGAGGATACTGGGGCAGATACTGGGCGGCCGGCGGCGCGTGGTGGACAGTGCCGGATGCAGAGACTGGAGGCGGCTGAGTGGGAGCAGGGAAGGGCGGAGGAGGAGGGCTGGCGAAGACGAAGTGAGGTTGGTGCGCGGGGTGGGAGGCCGGGTGTGGCGTGTGCACGTGGGCGGGATGGGAGTGTGCGTGCGGGTGCGGCTGCGAGTGCGACAGTGTGAGAGGCGGCTTGCTGATGGCGCCCCCTCTGGCTGAGTGTGTGGGCTGCGTGTGGAAGAGCGCAAACTGCGGATGAGGGGAGAGTGGGGAGTGAGGAGAAAGGGGGGGAGGGAGGCCGGAACCCATGTTGCCCATGGTCCCGTAGCAACCCTGCAAAGTATGCTGGGAGATCGGCTGGTATGGGGAGTGCACGGAGGGGTTGGGGTGCGGCCGTCGAGGCAAGGTGACCCGCTGAAGAGTATGGAGGCCCTGCTGCCCAGACGAGGGTACGGTCTGCATATGGAAGCGATGGTGGTGGTAGTACGGGGGCGGAGGCTGCCCACTGACACTGTTGCTGGTAGTGTGGCAGTACTGGGCGTGCAGGGCCTGGATCTTGGAGGGCCCCCCCGCATCTCCCGGGCACAGCGAGGACGGGGACAGAGGCGGCGGCCCTCCTGTAGTCGGTGGGGCCACAGGGGCAGGGTAGGGTGGCCCCGGGGGGATAATAGGACCCGGCGCTTTGGATCGCTTGCCCCCAAACAGGGAGCCCAGGAAGGATCCAGTGTTGTTGCTGTTGCTCCCAGTCCCCATTCCAGTCGTTCCTCTCTCGGTGTTGCTGGAGGCTGGCCCAGCGCCAGTCACCACAGGTGTGTGTTGCTGCCCCGGCCCACCCCCCACCCCCACTCCGGGGCTCAGGATGGGGCGTTGAGGCCGGAAGTCTTCTGTTCCATAGCATCCCGGGAGCACGGTGGCTACTGGGTAACGCTGGTGAGGCCGCGGACTGCTAATGATGGAACCCTAAGACAAAGAGAGTTTGGGGAAAGGAGGAAAGACAGCAGGACGACAGAGCCAAAAGCGAGGGTTCGGGAAAAAAGTGAGGGTGTGCAAAGAGGAGCAGGAAGGAAATGTAGGCAATAAATGAGAAAGAGAAGAAAAACATTGTAAAAGGATACAGAGAGAATGGTTGTTTCAGTGGGTGGGGAGGAAAAACAGGGGTGAGTTGATTAGGGTAATGAAACGACATTCTGTCAGCATCATAAATCAGAACATAATAACACAAACACATGTACCCAACTATCTATTACATGTCCCGAATGCCAATAATGCCAATTTTTATATAGATTTGAAAGTTCAAGTGGGATTTAATTTCTATTTTGTGTAATGTGCTAACAGGAAATTACTCATCTGTGTAGTTGCCATTAAAGTCAAAATGAAACAGCATTGTAACCCGTTCTACTTCTGTAATCAAACAAGTAAAACTGAATATTCAAATAAGATTAAAAAAGAGGAGGTCACTTGCTTACTGGAAAGACTTTAGAAAACTGAAATACAAAATGGTTTCATGTGGGGCCTCGAATACTACATCAATCATTTGTAAAATCATAAAGCAATTAAGAAATCAATAATCCAATTATAAAATGGATAAATTATTAAAGATGAAATAATTCACAATTTGATAATCAAAAACAATCGGTTAAAAATACATATAAATAAGCAAATAGAACTGCAATATTGAATGCACCAATTGTGTAAATAATGATTTTAAAATAAAAATGGAAAATATGCTTATTTTACTTCTAAATGCTTTTTTTCAGTATCTATTACCCCATTATTGATTTTCTGCTGAACCTGGAAGTGGCACCCGATCTGCTGTCATTAACTGCTGGGTCCCACTATTATTGAGGCTATCTTTGGTCAATGCTGTTTCTTGTGTGTAAATCATCATTTTATGATTGCCCTATAGTGCACCGATGAAGCATGTAAAATAAAACCATGTCTGTGCATTAAAAAGGTCTATTTTGAATTCATACTGGCTTAGATTTATGAGGGACACCTAATATAAAGTAGGCCTCAATATAAAAATCAACAGAACTGATATCACACAGTCACTAGTCCATGCATAGCACTGCACATACCAAACAAAAATGCACAAACCACCTCCAAAACAATAAAATGCACAACAAAACCATAAGAGAATAAAGACAGACATATTTTGACATATATCAATGTCATGCTTTAATTCTGGGTCAATGGGATGTCTTCCAGTCCTGATGTCTCGGAGTAAAATCTACAAGATATTCAACAACGTCCCGAATGACTTCAGATCTTTACATGCAGTCTCAATGACTGATGTTATTGATTCATTGCCTCAGTCACGTGTACATTAACATTCCACAGACCACACATGGTCACACATGATGCATACACATGGCTCTGTGTCTATGGTTAGGACACATGCAAGATGGCGCCGTGCTTTGTGTGGGGAATTCCAGGCAGACATGCGGGTGGTTCGGGTTTGGGGACTAAAACTAAAGATACAGACCTCTGCTTCACTCAGACTTACTTCCATTGTACTGTCAAGGGAACCAACGCTGTTTCTGCGGCCACGTTTCCCTGTTACCCAGTCAGCAGATGTCAGTCACAACTGCTTTGTGTGTGTATGTGTGTGGGTGAGTGTATTGGCAGTCAGTGTTAATAGAAATCGTACTTTTTTGTTGGTGTCCGCAAACGTTGAGATTGTTTTTAACCTCAAAATCTAACCCCAAAATTTACATTTTGCCAATTATACCATTTCTTTTTTTAAATTTTATATTTGCCCCCAATGTAGAATGGTGTTAAATTATCATAATTAAATTGGTTGCCAATCACAGCAAAGTGTCTCACCTGATTCAGACAGGTCCCTCAGTGAGGAGCTGAGAGCAGTACGTTTGAGGCCCTCTCCTGGTGAATAGTTGTCATCCAGACTAGGCCTTCCCATAGTGCCATTCACCACTTCATTCTTGACCCCACCCACTCCTCCAGCCATAATGCTGTTGGTGAGCAGGCTGGGCCGCATTACTCCCTTCTGCTTCTCCAACTCAGCTGCAGGTGGACAAAAAAACAAATATCAGACCTAGTCCTAAACAGGCAAAACATTTCCAGCATCAAGCAATTTGTCTGTACACATCCTAAAAGCCATTTTACGATGTGCCATTTTTATCTTGTTTACTGTGTGTTTTCTATGAGTCATGGGGTTGACCAGATAGGGTCACTGTAAATCTATAATGTTAATGTTGTAGTAAACCACAAGTAGAGGGCGCCAAAATAAAGTGTAGTTGATTTATGAGAGCAGTAGTGGGTCCTGTACTCACACTCCACTCTGTATTTCTCCATGTCCTGGACCTCAGCAATGCTCTCCCTCAGATCACTGACAAAGCGTGTGCGGTCCTGTTGACTAGGGGCCATGAATACAATCAAAACTTTACGCTCACCTCCCGGGATAGCTGATGTTAGTCTGACACCATGAGGATAGTCTAGGGGAGAGAGAGAAACACATTATGTTGTATTCAGGGTTCCTAAATAGCAATGTCACATTCCAATTTGTTATTAATATATTTGATATTAATGACTATTTTTTGGTACTATATTAATAGGTTTAAATGATGTTTTTCTGTATTTTTGAGCAAATAAATGTCGTCTTGGTGAGCATAAGAAAGTTTTTTTAAACATTACTTCAAACAAAGAAGAACTAAAATTAACCAACTTGAAATCTTACAGGAGTTCTGGAACATGTGAACCTGCATCTCCACCAGAGGGAAGGACTGTCTGAAACTGTACGTTACGGAGGTTTTCTTCTTCTGGAAGATCTTTGTAACCTTGAAGTGTAATAACAAAGAAAAATAACAACAAAGGATTTTAATGTGTATTAACTTTTTTAGATGTTGCTAAAAATACATTGGACCAATTCATTTTGTATGCATGGATTATTGATATGTGTTATTGACATTACCACAATCAGATCGTTGAAGAGGAAGACCTCTCTCTGGTGAACTCCAGACCTTTGAGGACGGTTGGGGTCCGGGACTTCATAGAGCTGACAGCAGCACACTAGTCTGCGGTGGGGCAGAGACAGAACCTACACACAGAGCAGATGTTTGCATTTACTTTGGAACAAGCAGTTCATCAAGAAGGTCAAAAAGTATGATTTCACACTGACAGAACACTTCAAAGTAACAAATCAGGTCTCAAAGATTCACTATTCTCAAAGATTCTAATCCAAAAAGATTTATAAATTCAAAATTGCCTCAGTGGAACTCACTGGTTTCTTGCCCACTATTACTCTCTCCACCGCCTGGACCTGAGAAACATGGTCATCGTTGGTTCTCAGTTCCCATTTCTGAATGCGCTGGTAGATTCCAACCAGTAAGTCACGTGGGATGTCCTGACCATTATCCACCCCTGAGAAAGAGAGAGAAAAAAATTTCATGCACACAAGAAGAGATTTTTAGTGTATAGGCACAATCCCTGACAATTACGTGCAACATTTAAGAGCAGTTTGAGAGTGTGTTTGTGGTTGCCCACTTATGTAAGTGCCAGTGTGTGAAGGTTTGAGAGAGATTTGAACATCACCTCTCAAGTTTTTGATGAAGTCGTCCAACTTCATCTTCCTCTCCACTTTGATATTGGGGCTATACATGTCTGTGTTGAGGAGGATGATGGCAAAAGCTAGGATGAAGATGGTGTCTGGGTTCTGGAACTGTCTTACCAGTGCTGGATTACAAACACAGTACCTCTGACTGCAAGACAGATGCAAAGAGAGAAATAGTGTTTGAGTGCAAATATTGAAGGATAGATAAAAAACATGTGTTTTATAAACACATTGTTCCAGATCTGAAATCTGACGGAATGAGCCATGTGTGATGGCATTGTAAAATAGCTGATATATGTGCAACTCTGACCACTCATCAATAGCAATTTTCTTTTAAGAAGGGCCTTTAAGTATTGTTAAAATCATTGTAACCCATAGCCTCTCATGTAATTTAATGAATGTGAAGTACTAAGGGCCAGATTAACTAAACAGGGCAAATTAGCGCAAGAGCACAATTCCAAAACAGTGCCGATGGGTGTGGAAATTTCTGCGGGTGATTTACTGACTGTGCAAATTAAAGAACCCAGATGCAACATCTCATTTCTATAATGACAAACGCAAACTACTAAGCACAGCGCAAATTAGAGTAAGGATATGTTCGGATTTGGATCATTTGTTCTTCTGGCATTCCAAATAAATAAATACGTGCAGAAAAAATCTTCTCCCTTCTACCACACGCTCTGTTCTCTGCTGTGCCTCCTCCTAGCAACAACAAATGCAGCCATTTCAAGCGCAAAATAGCTTAAGACATGCTTTTTTGGGCATTAAATAATGGCGCAAATACCAGTAATTTGACGAGCGCCAACATTAGCAAATCGTGTTGCGTGATTCATTTTAATACTCTCCTCCCATAAATTTTGCGTCTGAAAGGGAAACTTCTACAAATGCATATTCAATCAGGTCAGGCGCAAGGTGTCCACGCCTTTTCAGTGCTAATTCTTCACTGCGTGTCTTTAGTAAATCCTGACAGTACTATTTTAATTCCAAAAGACGGTTTGTGCTGGCGCAAGCTGTTATTAAGTCTGTTAAGTGTTTTGAGTGTTTTACTTGTGTACTAATTGTGTATAAGCACATTCACATACCTGAAAGCCTCAATAAGTCTTTCCACTTTTTGGGCCTCTCCTTGGACTTTTATCTGAGCTTGAAACTTCCTCAGAGCATCATCGAGATCCATTCCGGAAAAGTCCATTTCATCCACAACACAACTGAGAAAAACAAAAGTGGAAGAAAACATTACATCTATACATGCTTATGCCAAAACATGCATCCAATTGTTTGTGGATCAAGAAAAAGCTAAATATGTCTGTCTTTATTTTCTGTGCATTTTTTTCTATTGTGATAGGACAGCTCAAACATGACAGGAAGCGAAGTGGAGAGAGAGGGTGCAGGATTGGGAAAGGTCCATAAGTCAGGATTCGAATTCGGGACGCCCGCAGCACAACGGCGCTGTATGTCAGTGCGCTGCCCACAAGGCTATCGGCACCAACATTTTCTGTGCATTTCTTGATGTAGTATTGTACAGTATATTACATTACTTCATTGTGAATTGTGCTCCAAGGGTATTTGGGCTCTGTAACCCCAAATGGATCCGCCAATTATTGTTTAATCCCAAAATTTAAAACGTGCATGGAACAAAAGAGCATTATTAGGGTCCTTGGCCTGAAAAAGGTTGAAGACCCCTGCTCTGTTACACTGCAAGCTAAATTATGTACATTATATTGTATAATTTATGTAAAATGCATGCCTACATATCTATTCGGTATGAGTTAACTGAGGATTCAAAAACTAGGTAGTTGCTGTTAACAATTACATTTTTTCAAAGCAATTTTTTTGGAAAGTTTTTTATTTAAACTTTTGTAATTTTCTTAATTTTAGAGGATTTATTGTGTGGACTCACTCCAATACATCTTTGTTGAACTGTTTCTGTCTATTTCCAAGGAACTCTCCAATCATCTGCCGACTCAGGCCTTTTCTCTCCAGGATAAAGCGAGCAATGCCCACTGGTGTGTCTGACACAAACCCCTTCTCAATTAGGTACTGAATACCCTTTTCTGGTTTCCTGCAGTTCAAAAACATCAGCATAGTTTAATCATGTTTCAAACAGATGCATTCAGTTTCCTTAATTTGATTTGTAATTTCATAGTAATGGTAAATGGTGGGAGTGCTGTATAAAAGAGGCAGTGTTTAATTTTCTCTTACTTGTTGAAGAGGTTGAGTCCGATGCGATATTGTCTTCTCTGCACTACGTCGTTGTTAAAGTCAGGAGAGTCCCAGCTGTGCCGACTTTCTCTCTGGTAGGTCTGTTTCCCTAATGGGGGCAAGGGCTCCCGCAGACTATCCCTTGAAGAGGAGCCTGAGCTGCAATTAATGGTCTCATTAGAGTTTGTGGTGGAGTTTAGTGAGTCATTATCACCATCCGAGCCGCACTGCTGCTCCAAGCCACCAGGAGGCAGTGGTGCTGAAGAGGAGGATGAGAGCGGTGTGGTTGAGGGCTGTTGAGGAGAGGAGGAGGACGAAGGTGTGTCGGGGTACTGGGGATGATGATGGTGGTGGTGATGGTGATGATGGTGAGGCATGTGGTGTGGGATGTGCGATCGGCTAGCTGGACGTGTTTGACCTTGTGCAGCTGTCGAGGATGTTGAACGAGCATTAGGGTTGTGCTTTAGTGTCCCTTGAGGTGATCCTCCTGCTGAGTCCTGCTCGTAGACTAGTTGTCTGCTAAGGGAGCCTCGGTCTGAGCGGTCACTCATGTCCACTGAACTGTCACTAGGTGGTTCAATTGTAAGTAATGGTAAATGCCCTCCCCTTAAACGGTAATCACGGCACTCTGTGCAAGGTGTGCTTCGGCGGCTATTGCTGCTTCCTCCTCCTTCTGTGTCACGGCTATCTTCTCTACCACTTACCCCGCTTCCAACACCCCCCCAGAACTCGGTGTCTGTGCTGCTAGGGGCCCGGTCTAGAGAAAGAGGTGAGGAAGGTAGACCGTCGTCCATGTAAAGCGTAACATCACTGTAGGAGGTGGCTGTGCTGTCTTCGTGCATGCTCAAGCCCCCTGTACCTCCTCGATCCCTGTCTCCAAGACTTCTTCGTAAGGATACGTGGCTGTTGCTACTCCATATGCACTCGCCGAAGTCATCCACAACACCACTTCCATCCCCTATACCTTCCTGGGAATCATCTCGGCGTGGTCGACACGTTAGGGCATCATCAATGGAGTCGGCCAAGGACTTCACCTTGAGTACAAAGAAACAGACACTGTCAGGCAAACTACAAAAATTGTATCTTTAGGGTTTTAGCAGTGTCTCTGAGAGAGTACCCTTAAAGGTACAACTTTGTACATTATATACCAATTTGATCTCACTGCAATTCATACATATTCATACATATTTTACGATTTTGTATGTTTTCTGTGAGGGGTAGGTTTAGGGGCGGGGTTAGGGGTGGTCTTTTCATACATATTCCTACGAATTTGCCACCTTGTAAAATGCGTATGATTTTTCACAAAACTTTCTCAAAAATGAATAGGAATTAGTATGAATGACCACCCATAACCCCGCCCCTAAACATACCCCTCACAGAAAATGTACGAAATTGTATGATTTAGCCACCTCATAAAGTACAGTATGTACAAATTGCTGTGAGATCAGGCTGGTACATAATGTACAAAGTTGTACACTTAAAGGTACTCTCCCAGGGACACTGTTGTAACACTAGAGAAGGTGTATATTAGTACCTTCCAGTAACCTTTTAGGGGTAAATAAAGTTGTCCCTTTAAGGGTACTGCCCCAGTGACAAGTTGTTGTACCTCTAAATGTACAGTTTTTGCAAGAGCATAGAAACCACAGGATGTACATAGCATTATCTGGCCATGATCTGACAGTTTTGGAATCTATCTGCTATCTGCTCTATCTTGCTTTAATACAAAAAAATTTAAATGTAAACTGTATGTTCACATAAGGTGTATGGGCAAGTTATGGACACTACCCCACTGAAAAGACCAGGTCAGACAGGTACGCCAAACTTTGACCAGCAGTCTTTCTGGTGAAACTAGTTGCCCAAAAACATCTTGCTGGTTAAGCTAGTTATGAAGCCTGTACATTAGCATCCAATGTTGGGGACAGATCAGATACAGTAAAACTGAGTACTGACTTGTTTTGAGAAGGAGTCCTCTAGGTGGGTGTATTCCGGTTGTGATGGGGAGCTTGGCTCTGTGGTGCAGGTTGGAGAATGCGGAGGACCCATTCCTGGACTGTGACTGTAGTGAGTCGGGGTGGGAGGTTGAGGCTGTCGGTCATCAAACGAGTACTGCAGTCGCATGTTGGAAAGGATGATGCGCCGTGTCATGCGGCTCTCAGAAGCTGAGCTGCGCAGGCGCTCAAAGTTCTTGTTCATGCGATATTGACGGAATGCTGTCTGGATGGTACGTGCTGCTCGTCTACTCACGAAGTAACCCCCATATTTCTTCTCCAGCATCTCCACCTGCACAGCAAAACCTTCATCAGTTATATTTGCTTCAATAGATTGTGATCATGATGAATCATGATTCTTTTTTTGCATGCCTTACCTTCTTGTCTTGTAGGTCTGTAGAGAGTTCATAACTGTCTGATAGGGCTTTGCACCTCTTGTTCTCTTCTTCCTCTTGCTTACGTAGGGCCAGGCTAGCTGGCTGGTTGCGTGTACGATGTGCCCAGGCAAGGCTGGCTGGGCTTGGAGGGGGCACAAAAGGCACCCGAGGGCCTGGGGGGCCACAGCTGTTGTCCCCGTAATGGTCAGAGCTGTGCACGTAAGGAGATTTACTGCTGGAACTGTCTGAAAAAGGACGTGAAGCTGAACTCTGGGTTTCCTCCTCACTGAAAGGGGTGGGTGAGAGAGAGAGAGAGAGGGGAAAAGAGAGAGGAGAGAGAGATAATAATTCTGAGGAATGAGTCTAAAACACCCCCATAATGAAAGGATAAGATAAAAATCTCAAGCAACTCAGGAATTCATGACATTATTTATTTCCCACTGACTTAGCATTTTGACTTTCAGGAAAGCTTTAAACAGGGCAAATGACCTAAACAAGCCTCAGGCTTTCCCAGAATTATCACACCAAGACAATTAGAGCAATTCTAGTTATAATTAAGATTTGTAACTGGAGAGAGTTACGCAAGTCTATGCCTTAATAAGAGCTTGGTTTCCTTTATCAAAGATCATAGTTTATATTTAAACAATCTATTAAAACTCAAAAATTAATCTGTATGTACTATCAGAAACTTGAAATGCAGTAGTGAATTTCCTGTCAAATCAACTTCTGTTTTTGACTTCTGTACCTGTCATGTGAGAAGTTTTGGCATCATATCCAACCTGTTTTCACCTCAACTCTACACTATTGACACCTCCTCATATTCTGTTCCTCACACAACAGCTCTCATCCTTAATGACTTGTAGTCTTCCGCTGCCATAAGTGACTCACTTATCCTCCAGGGTACTATCAGAGCAAGAGTTTGATTGATACACATACCGCCAAACATACGCAGCACACATAATGACATCAATTATGCAATCTCACTCAAGGGCCTTTATACCAAAGTATAACTTGAAATAGATTCCTATGTTTTTTGAAGAAAATGCAAGTGGTGTTTTACAATCTAAAACTCACCATCATGACACTAAGGTGCTTTATGTAGTTACCAGAGCATTGCTTTGTGGTGGCATAACAATGGTTGTTAGCACATTGCTATGTGGTTGCTAGTATTCTGTTTGATTGCTAGGGTATTGCTAGGATGTTCTAGGTTGTTGCTATGCCTGCTTATGAAGTTCACTTGATATGGCTTGCATCCTGTCAATTCAATGTAATTTAATGTTTTTCCCCCCCAGTTGCTTGGAAAAGTAATACCATACTTCTCCTCAGCAATCCACACAAATTGAGGTACTATTTATGCACAAACAAGTTACACACTGATGTTTAATACTTTGTGTTTGAGTCTGCAAACACCACTGCATAAGAAATTACAGAATAAGAACAAACAGACTATTGACACAAGAGCTCAGTATACAGGGTCAGTCACCCCAGTGCAGAGGCGTTGACCCTTAGGTTTGCCATGGGAAACACAACAACATGTGATCTGAACTCATATTCCTGACACAGCTTTCTGACAGGACAGTGTGTGGGTACTTCTGAATCACTGCAGGCAACTTCCTGTTCTGTATGACTAAGTCAGAGGAGGTTATTGAAGGCAAGATATTATCATATAAAGCTAATGTACTGCAATTCAGACGTCTTACGAAACTATTCTCATTTTGGTTAAATGATTTCTCACTCTCTCAAGCCCACACAAAGACACTTACATGGATGCAAATAACCCTTGTTTTGCTGTTTATCACATGTAACAACAGGTAAGAACCATTACAGGTAACCATTACACACCTGTCCAGAAAGGGCCAGTTTGTACAAAAGCAAAATACCCTCCTGTTGTCCTCTATTGTATATAGGAAAACAGAAACCTAACAGGTTTATAACACAACAGCAGATGTTAGGGTTAAATAAAAAAGGAAACTTTAACTGTACACTTACCACATTTACTAGAAAGACCCAAATAGTTGCATAAACCCATGCACATGAACATCCACCCTGAGAGCGAAAGGGAAGTTTTGCTTCCTACAAGTCCAAATTTGGCAAGGAGTCGCTGAAACCTCCTGGAATTCACCAAAATGCTGAACTTTGTGGCTTTAGAGTTGTTCTGCAGTTATGACCAACTGTCAGGAGGTCACCACCACATAGTCACATGGCAGTGCTTAAACCCTCCCTCCTCCTATTCTCTCTCCCTCCCTTTATTTACATTACACAAAGTGCGCTGGTGTAGTTCACTGAAGTCAGTAGCTCGGAAAGAGTGAGCTGATATGTCACTGAGGCTGGAGTTTCTGGCCAATCAGCTTTAGGATCTCCTGCAATGCTTGTATTTATCATCTTTTTCTAGTTTTTCACAGAGGTGTTTGTGGTAATTGTCTATGACGGTCATAAAAGGCAGTGTCCCTCTCTCCATTTCGCTGGTCTGATTTATTTACAAATACAGGAAACCACCCATATTAGGGGTGGTTTCCTGTATTTGTATGAAGTGAACAAAAGATTGAAGGGGGAAAGGAAGATACAGCAATTGCCTTTTGAGCTGTACTGCGGGCGGCAGCTGTACCCATAAGAAAGCAAAATCATAAATGAGATCTCTTTAATGTCTTAATAGTTTCTCCCAAATGCATTGAGATTAAATAAGAACCAGCTTTTAAGATTTGTCTTTCTCTTCAGAAAAACACCCCAGTAATCTCACGTTTAAGAAGAAATCTCAGAAATGTCTCAGATTGTGTTCATATTTGGCAAAATGAATAAGGCTGCAAAGAAATGTAAATACAAACTCAAACATTTCTCATATTCATAATCATCTAAGCCAAGCGATACAAAATAATTTTATAGCACTCGACTGTACAACAAGAATCGTCACATTTGCGTCTTCATATTTTTAGGAGAACCATCTGAGACAAAACAGATGCTTAAAGGGATAGTTCACCCAAAATGTTGGCATCATTTACTCGCCCTCATGTCATTCCAAACCTGTATGAGCTTCTTTCTTATGTTTAACATAAAAGAAGATTGACTTCCATAGTAGGAAGTCAATGGGGACCATCAACGGTTTGGTTCTTCAAAATATCTTATTTTGTGTTCAACATAAGGAAAGAAACTTATATAGGTTTGGAACAACATGAGGGTGAATAAATGATGACAACTGGGCGAACTATCCTTTTAAATGAGCTGGGTTCTTAGTTTCATTTAAATCTCTTGAAATATCATAGAGCAATATGATTTTCCTCTGGGTACTTAAAAGTAAGTTAACTTATATCAAGGACCAAATAGTTGCAAATGTATTCCAATATTTCTAATAATCAGATCAGATCATTGGCCTGATGCAATGTGTTTGTTTATTAAAGGAATAGTTCAAATATGAAAATTCTCATTATTTACTCATGTTGTTCCAGACATGCATGACTCCCAACAATGGTATTTAGGCTATTTTAATAGTAAAATCATAAGGGCCATCGTTGTTTTTCTGTGCGCCATCCAGCACTTCCCTCCAGTTCAGTAGGTGATGGAAATACACCTTTTTACATAGCTACATAGAAATAACAGAAAAAAGCAGGTGAACAATTCTGCCACTTACTGGACTGGAGAGCAATGGTGGCCACTACAATTTTACTATTAAACTTGAGCCACATGCACTTTTTAGCTGATAGTCCTGCATGCTTTATTAGGCATTTAAGCACAATATACAGTCATGTATTGAATTCCTTAACCAAATATTCATTAAATTATATCCTTTTGTGTTCCATGGAAGAAAGAAGGTCATATATGTTTTGGAACGACATGAGAAGAAATAAATGGCAGCTACCTGAAAACAAATTCTAGTTTCACTATCAAGACTGTGTATTTATTCAAGCATTTGCAATGATGTAATTGTTTTCTTTGCAAATATTGATTGCTAGATGACATCACAATTCCACGGTCTGAAAAGTGCCGTTGATATACTTCACAGCTGTGTGTAGCTACAACTGTTCAAACATACACACTATTAGTTTATAGGCTACTTTACATAAGTAAATGGACTAGTTTCAAAGTTGCTTTAACTGGGTTTCGACTGGTTTTGCAGTTCTAGATGTCAACCTGCAATTTCATAAATCCCATAAACCTCCTCTGAATGAAAGCTGCCAGTTATATCACAGAGGTTTGAGCAACCACATAGCAATGCACCAAAACTAGCTTTACTTCTGTTTTACTTTAATACTGGTTTGGAAATTGGCTTAATTTAGCCCAATCTAGCATCTGCTGCCTACATGCAATGACAAACCTGTAGTGCTGTTTTATTCTAGGAATGCTGCTATAACATCTGCTCATAAAATTGTCGTCTTGCATCTCACATCTTCCTTTTCCCCATTCCTCCCACTCCTCCCACCCACTCTCTCTCACACACATGTAGGAGTGAGGAAGGTAGGGTTGCTTAGTGACAGTTGCCGTGAGACCACCGTGGGAGGTGAGGAAGTCATTAGAAAGAGTGTTGCTATAGATACGGAGCACTAATACAGTAACCGTGGGTGTTGGTGGTTAAGTTGCAGGTTGTAAGATTGTAAGACTTTGAATGTTACAATAGATATACAACTTCTTAAATATAAAGGTTCTTTATTGGTATCTATGGTTCCATGAAGAACCTTTAACATTCATGGAACCATAGAAGGTTCTTTATAGTGGAAAAATGTTCTTGAAAAATTGTTCTTTTAAGAACTGTTCACCGAAAGGCACTGGAGAACCAAAAATGGCTCTTCTATTGCATCACTGCGAAAATCCCCTTTTAGGAACTTTATTTTTAAGAGTGCATTCAAATATACCTAGCCGTGTGCATGACGTAAACATTGAATACCACCCGATCTAAATATTCCCTCACAGTTTAATAGTACAGATGATGCAATTTCCTCCCCCCTCCACCTGGCTCTTACCCACCTAGAAAATAAAGACTCCTATGTTAGAATGCTGTTCATCGACTTCAGCTCAGCATTCAACACAATAATCCCACAACAGCTCATCAATAAACTAAACCTGCTGGGCCTTAGCAATTCCCTCTGTAATTGGATCCTGGACTTTCTATCTGGAAGACCTCAGTCAGTCTGTGTCGGCCACAACACCTCGAGCACTACCACACTGAGCACAGGTGCTCCACAAGGCTGTGTGCTCAGCCCGCTGCTCTTCACGCTGCTGACCCATGACTGCACTGCCAAGTTCAGGTCCAACCACATCATCAAGTTTGCGGATGACACAACGGTGGTAGGTCTCATCAGCAACAGTGATGAAACGCACTACAGAGAGAAAGTGGCAAAGCTGGTTGAATGGCGTGGCACTAACAACCTGTCCCTCAATGTGAGTAAGACAAAGGAGGTTGTGATGGACTTCAGGAGAAACTCTGTTGACCACCCCCCACTGACCA